AAGGGCATCTTATAATAACATTAGAGGATATCAATGGAAACAAAGAGAACGAAGACTTTTAATAAAACTTTTATTATCACGTGTTATTATGTAATAAACTGTTTGTGGGGAGAGGGTTATGTGGCTAATAGTGGTAATCAGGGGGTGCTTATTCACGAGAGGATACCGATACGGTAAGTTCAAGAATATTTGAATAAGATACACGTAAACAAATGTTTTGACCAATCAGATTTCGATAACGAGCATGTGACCGAATTATAATCGCGCGGCGCAAAAGTCGAAATATAGAGTATAGAAACTCATTCGGAATTTCAAACGTACCTGCAGTGTAAGGTTGCTAAAAGTTAAGACGTTTCAACAAATCTGTAGTTTGTTTTTATCTTGACGCTGGCTTGCAAGAACATGTCGTTCCGTGAATTGAAATAAAATATCATATAGTCTTTGGTAAACTTGTCATTCTGATATATCTCAACTGATGGTTCGAGACAGTAAAATCGTATTATAACGTTCGAGAAACAGATTATGCAGAGAGACAGCAAAAAGTTTTTTCGATTACTACGACGATCATCAATAGCTTTGTTTCTTATTCCTCTTCTTCTTAACCCGTTACTGTTTTTTTACTGAACTCTTCAGAGCATCTTCTTTTCAACCTTGATTTTATCCTCGTCAAAATTAAAACCTTTATTTTCGATCTCAACACAGCATCATCAATGCGTTCATTATATCCAGCAGACTCACTCTCTTGCTTTACAATGGTAGCCTTCTCTCGCGGTACCGCATTACTACTTCGTCCTTTACATTGTTGTCCGCATTAACATACGTGAGGCAATCCGTTCGATCACATGATATACATGTCGGCCAAGCAGCTAAACTATCAGCATAACCAGATTGTGCACACTAGTGACTAAAGAATTATGAATACATGCCAAGAATATTAATATCATACACATGAATAAGAACATATCCATAATGTGTTCAAGCTTGAATTTATTACAACTGAACTGATAATACTAATACAAAGCAAATATCATAATTGTTCGTGTAACGTATAAATTCATTTGACCCTCGTAAATTATGTTAGTTCTTCTTGAATACAAACAGCCCTAGCAACAACAGCACCTCTCTAATGGTAAGTTCTTTTCTGCCTTCTTCCTCTTTTTCCTGTAATCCCCTTTCTACAATATTTTTCTTTCTCAAGACCGGTCGTGCAAACACGTTTGCGAACGCGCTTGCACCAAACGCGCTCGCGCTCAAATGCTCTCACCAATTCCAAATTTTCCTCTCCTTCCTCTGAAAACTCTTCCACCCAATCTCCTCGTACGAAATCGCGCACGCAACTAACTCGTTATTCTAAACGTCTTTCTGGTAATGCCCGTCGCGAAGCATCCGATCCCACGTCAGATATGATTGCAAAACTGGTCAAGCTTCCGTCGACCGACGAGAGGAGGAGATTAAGGAAACGAACGGTGGAAGAATATTTACAGCCAAAGCGAGTGTACAAAAAGAAAATGGATTATCTAAAAAATAGGAAACAGACCAGCAAAGTGGAAGAAGGGGGGAGGATAGATATAGGAGGGATTGGGGAGGAAGAGAATGCCAATGAAACGTGTCAACTTCTGTAACAGCAGTCGTGGTAGAAGTAACGGCAGAACCAGCTATAACAGAGAGGAATGGATGGTCGAAAATTTAATAGAAGAAGCAGTCGATGAAGTAGCTACAGAATCAGTTGCAAGGTCAGGAGTAGAAACGGAAACCGATACTGGGGAAGTAGATTGCGCGCGCAGTAAACAATGAAATATCTGATGGAGCTGTGTGTGAAGTTGCAGATGAAGGAACCGATGAAATGACGGTCGAAGCAATTGGGGACATATCTGATGAAGCAGGAATAAAATTGTGGAAGTAGTTGGTGAAATATCTGAGGAAGTAATGGATGACGTAACTATTAGAGTTTCTGGTAGGGAACCTGTAGATGAAGTACTGAGTGGCCTATCTGATGAAATGTCGGACGTCGTAGTTGATGAGCTAACTCAGGAAGCAGCTGACGAAGTAGCCGATGAAGTAACCATTGAAATGAACATATAGATGACGTAGCTATTGGAGTATTCGGTGGGGACCTGTATATGAAGTACTAAGCGGCCTATCTGGTGATGAAATGCCTGACACAATAGTCGATGAGCTGGCTCAGGAAGTAGCTGATGATGAAGTAATTAGTGAATTAGCTGATGAAATAACTATGGACTATCTGATGGAATATCCGATGAATTGGTTCAAGAAGCAGCTAATGAGGTAACTCAAGAAGTAACTGATCAAGATTTTTTCCCAGATGAATTAATGGTTGGAATAACAACACTAATAAGCTCGCGGAGAGAAACAATAGATACCATAGCCGAAGTATTGGATTGCGAAATTGTAGAAGAAAATACACATCCTTTAAGACGCCAGAGTAGTAATAGGTCTAAGAGGGCAAGAGTTGTTTAGATGACGAGGAAAGTTACGATTGGACACTGGAAAAGAGTGATGAAGAGAATGGTAATGGTGAGTACGAGTGTGAAGAGGCGACAAAGAAATGCAAGACGTTGAATATGATGATTCCGACTCCGGCTTTCAACCTTCCGATAGTCAAGGTACAGGGATAGCGACAATGTGGGTTGAATGTCTAAACGTATAGTTCTAACTATCCCTACTTTTGTAGCCCCTGCTTCATCATCGACACATGTAAAGGAAATATGTTCAGTGTCTTCATCAATAGCAAAGAATAAATGGAGGCCGCTTGACCCCGCCGTCGAAACGATTTGTCAACAAGCTGTTACGAAATTCTGTACCGTGAGTAGCGATTGAATTTTTGTTCTTTAGTATAAGCGCTCATGATTAGGCATGAGAGAATAGTTGTGGATAGAATATGTGGGAGGAGAAGTACATTTGCAGAGATTCTTATTGTTATCTGTTATACTTCTTCAAGAGCTGTCTTGGCACATGTAAACAGAACGCCATGGAGGACGAAACTGCAGACTCAATTGGACAAGTTGATTTTACGGTAAATAATAGCAGATATGTTGCTTTCTCTTTTGCTTATCTGACATCCTGTTTATATCCCACTAGAATAAGTAAATCTTTGGATACCGTAACTGTTCCAAGGCTACAAACGAAACTAGTAGTCTCGATTACAAGAATTTATCTTCTCATCATGTATGTTTTTCATCTCATTATGGCGTTTACTGTATGTTAAACGACTTGTTAACATTACTTACATTAACTTACGTCTACAAGCAAGATCTTGAAGCTTTACTGGTACAGGAAACGGACTAAATAAAACAAATGGAAATGCAGTTGAGAAAGAAAAGCAGTGAGCATCTTTGTTTTGGCGGGAGTTGGGTAGGGAAGACTAGACTGATATACAAGCAGTCTTTTTTTATGTAGGCTGTTGAAAGAAGAATCGGAATTCTTAAAGAGCTTGCAAAGTGCTAAGAAGTCGGTCGATTCAAGAAATCGATCCTTGCAGAGATCGAAGGTGACTATAGTCCTATTATGTATAAAATGTGTGATGTATTTATGTTACCATGAAAATTGATCAAATCTATTATTTGGTCGAATTAAATATATAGCTTCATCCCCTATTTAAGGAAGTGGAAGATCCGGATGATCTTGTTGATGTCGACAACGACTTAATCAAACAATATCTTACTCATGTGACTACAGACGTTCCATTAACTGTAAGTATGGAAAGATAAACTAACGATTTCTCCATTTTCACCCACACTACTAGCAATTCTTATTCTATTGTTTGATTTTCATGCGTCACTATCAATTATCGCCCGATCCATTATCGAATCTTAAACTCTCTCTTCTCATCTACGTTCAGTGAATGCTCACACCTCCATCATCGATCCAGTCATTGATGGAGTCTACGAAGATGAGAGGCAAATATGGCGCCTCATGAATGAATCTGGCTTAGGTGAAAAGGTTTTTGATGTTCTTAGAGATTGTTAAGGAGTTGAAGAGAGTATAATAGTTGATGACCCATTGACATGTTTGAAAAGGTAGAGGATTGAATGTACACAATAAAGATATTCAATAATGAAGTGAACTGATTACAGGCTGCGAACACGACCAGTAAACTACATACAATGTTATATTGAAAATTTTGTGTAAAGGTTACTTCTTTGCCATTTGCTCAACTCGTGATAGTAATCGGTCACATTTCCTGACGTCATAGAGATAATAATTCGAAATACCTAGGACTGGCAATATGCATGTGGCGAGTGTTGCGATCATTTTGCCCTGAATAATTCGTATGGTGAGCACGAATAAATAAAATGAGAGGTTTGAATTAGAATGGGGATTTGGTTTTTTTATTGATTTCAAGTTATTTCCGTAAACGCCTATATAAGTTGATAGGAATATTTAAAATTTTTTCTTCCGAAATCGCGTAATGAATGGAAAGAACAGATTCGTTAGTGCTTATTGGACTACCATGTTGCCATCAAAATATTGTCGAAAACTACTTTGAACCGACTCCATGTTTCAATAAAATTTAAACGTGCATGGTCTTCAACGCAAAACGATAGTAGTATTTTGTTTACTAGTTAAGTTGTTTATACATGCCACGTTCAAACAATCGTATATTCCTGGAGAAAGTTTACAAAATGACCAAGCGATTATCGAATATATGTCTGTGATGGCTAGATTCCATTGAAGACGGTTCCCTAAATCGCAAGTTTAAAAATTAAAGTAACGAATAATAGATAGCATCAATGCAATATTAGAAGTGCTGTTGTGAGCCTTTGTTTTAATTTCTTCTCTTTACCTCGCGGAATGCAACTCTGAAAGTCAGTTGATGCTGTTAGCCGTAAGTCAGCCTATACAACGCTCAGTGTCATCAATCATTGTCGATTTACTGTTTCGCATCGCATGAATTGATCCATCATTTTCAATTACGAAGACCATCCTTCTCAATGCCAAGTTCTCATTATGCGATACGTATGTTGCGGCTTTTGGAAATATCTACATATAGCATTCTACAGTAACGTCAGCCCATGCAGCGTGCTCCACAGAGAAATGTATATAGAAACACGTGTTTGTTGTTACCCGCCAAGATGTCCGGACATAATAAAGCAGCCATGTTGCGGCGATTGTTTCGAAAAGATTACAGTAAGTGTCGAAAAAAAGCGTTCGTCTTTCCCACGATTGACAGAGCATAACAAATCCGCGGGAAAGATCTTGATTGTGTCTGAGATTGGAAGCATAAAAAGCATCACCAATAACGTATAGTAAATAACTATGTTAACCTGCGTTGCTAATGGTTGATGCCATTGTTTCTTATATTAGAAACTTTTAGCATAATCTTCAATTATTGCAGAAGATTTTATACGTCCCTTTTATATAACTTGTATGCATAAGAAAGTCCTTGACAATTGTGCGTGCGTGTATTTATAAGAAATGTCTTTGCCTTCACCACCAATACAAGACGCGATATCGAAAAGAGGATTGCTCTATAAAGAATGTTGAATCAGTTTACGTCGAGAAATTTGTTGCGAAATACGTATGCAGTAATGAGATTTATTGCTTGTGTCAAAGCGTAGATTACACAGAAATTATGTAACCATAAATTCAGAATAGCCGGAAGGTGTCTCCGAAGTATCTACCGAAATTTTTTTACTTAGAACGATGTCGTCAGTTTTAGGGACCTGTACACCAATTGACAGCTTGATTCGATCTTCCTTGGGAAGTCATGCAGGCTTAACACTCAAATGGATTCCTTGCTCAGATATTACCAACGTAAAACTTACTCAAATTGATAACATTTACTACGCTATTCTTAAACATAATTACATAAGGAACGTGTTAAAGTATCTTGATGATGAGACGGCGATAACGCTAGTATTACTTGGAAGTAGCGAAGAATGCACAGCAACACTTGTGAGTGAGTTTGCTAGAATATACTCACT